TGTTTGCATCTGTAGGTGGAACCACTGCTATTGTACTCATTCATGGCAGTGGCAGATTGGAGTAATAGCAGTATTCCTTGGTTGGATTGCTCTTATATTCTCCATAAGGAAGCTACCAAAATTTGGAATATATGTAGTAATGTTTATTGAAATATTCAAAAACTTTATGAAGGTTGTCATTCTTGCCTTGCTGTTGATATTTGCCTTTGCATTTCCTCTTTATATGATGTTTCATGATCCCCAACTTAGATCAGAAGGAATAGAGAGTAGCTTTGCAATATAATGTTTCTGGCACTCTAATGATTCTGTCTCTCTTTCATTCTATAGCATACTCCATTTATTACTCCATGGAGGACAATTGTTAAAACAATAATAATGACAATGGGGGAGTATGAAATGGATTCATTATTGCAACAGAATAATCAGCAGGATTCATCTGACATACAGTATCCGGTTGTTGCATTTTCATTGCTAATTGTGTTTGTGGTTTTAATGCCAATTCTATTCCTAAACCTATTGGTATGTTTGCACTCTTTCAACTCTGCTAACCATCAAATCCATTTCAAATAGACTAGTCTAGCTGTTGGTGACACTCAAAAAATACGAACATCAGCTGACACGTACAGACTAATTCTAAGGGTATGAACTTTATAATATAGCATAATTATTTTTATGTTACAATATCAATAGGTTGAATTCATATTACCAATGGAAGAATTTCTAAAAAAAATTGTAGCAAAATATATTGTCATTAAACAAGAACAAACAATGTACCCAAACAAGTCAGGAGTCTTGAAGCAGCTGATTGGTTATATTTTTGAATCAAAGACTGAAGGAACTGAGCCTCCTCCAGTGAGTAAATTCATTTCTTTTTTACTTTTAATTTATATACATTTATTAACACAGGCAACTATAGCTGATGTTAATACTCAGATCAAACCATTATCAGGAGAAATGAAGGACTTACGCACTTCAGTATCTCAGGAAGTGAAGAAGCTACACAGTTCAGTATCTCAGGAAGTGAAGGAGTTACGCAGTTCAGTATCTCAGGAAGTGAAGGAGTTACGTAGTTCAGTGGATCATTTGTTAGCAATTGTTGAAAGTATGAGGAATGAAAGAGCAAGAGAACTGAGCAGTGAAACTACTGGAATAAGAGAAAGCATTGGAGCAAAAGATAGAGCAAAAATTGAAGAAGAACAGGGAGATTTTTAGAAAGAGTATGAATTGTGAAATCTAACTTTAAATTTGCCAAATTTAATAAGCGTTTGAATTTTATGCTAGCTAAATAAGTACTGAATACTTTATTCGTCTCTATTCAGTTTTTTTTTTTCGTTCATATTATTAATAATAATGGTACTACCATTGTAGATGTGAAACTGAAATAAAAATTTAATTAGGGATTTTAAGAATATATAAAATTAATGAAGAATTGAATATCTACTTGCAAAAATGCATGTCCATCATTTGCATCCAGATGATGCAGTGCACACATTCTATTCTAATTTGGTGGGCGGGGTAAATTTGTACTCACTCCACCTACTTCATTTGATGGCGGGCATCAGGAAAGGTAAAGGTCCTGGTTTAAGTGAATGAAATGAGACATTTTTATTTAGATTTAGGTCTGGTATATAAAGCAAAGTCAGGGTTGCTTTCATTGATAAGGTATTGAATGCAACTTGTTAATCTAATCCTTCTTGATTCCCCTCACAGGTCACCATCACAGTATTATCCCAATGGTAGAGCTGGGCATTCAACTGTTGTAATTAAGGATAGTCTGTTCCTGTGGGGAGGCTACCAGGAGCAGATACCTAGCATACACGACAGCACAGAAAAGAGAAGGATCACTTCAATTATAGATATATTTAATTTACACTCTGGCCAATGGAGTCAAAAGCCAACAAAAGGAAGCCCGCCACTGGGTGTGTCTGGTTATGCCTGTACACCAATTGATGAACAGATATACTTTTTTGGAGGTGATTGTGGCCATGATAATTGTTACCATAACAATGTGAGTCTACTTGATACTCTCACTCTTCATTGGTCTGAGGTCTTTCCAACAGCAGTCAAAGAGGATGAAGGGATTCCAACCCGAAAAGCAGCATGTGGGATTATTCATATAATATATAATGGTGAAGATGCCTTGTTTGTGTTTGGTGGGTATGGTATTTGTCCCTCTAATCCTAAACCTCACACTGATTATGCTGTTGACTCTACCAATGGTCTTTTTAGGAATAATGAGCAACACATCTTCATCATTAAATCAGGTATTTGTCACATTAAACTCTTTAGTTATTTCAATCAATTCCTTTTATGGTAACAAAAATAATAACTGTCACTGCGCTTGTTTATTAAGATACATGTAGTAACAAATGTACAAACATAACAGCTCCATGAGTAATTTTGATAGTAATGATGCATTGCCAAGTTAATGTAGTATAGTACTTCATTCAAATTGTTAAATGATGTAGCATAAATCTTTTTTATTATTTCCACTTTCTAGGTAGATGGGTAAATCCTGATAGTACTGGTCAGAAACCACCTCCTCTGAATACACTAACAATGACAAAGATATCATACAACAAGGCAGTAGTGTTTGGTGGAAGGATTAACAATGAAGTTACCAGTGACATTTACATCAGTACAATCAATGATACAATTGTGGTAAGAAACAAGTAATATTATGACTAAGATGTACATGTACAGTGTATATGTAATGAATTTAGTGTTCCCAAAAAATGAGCTAAACAAAACAGCATGCTTTATGAGCTGACAAGCACCACAATAGTACCAGTACATGTCTTTTTGAGCAACTTATTCAAAAATTTGTAAAAATTCAATTTTAATCAGAACCCACTCGAACTTCCTATGCAATATAAGTCCATGTATATGTATTAGAAAAAAATTAATTGAGAACTTTCACCTGGTCATTTTTGACAAAAATTGGCCAAAGACCCTGTACTACAAGGCTGCAAAAGTTTTCGCAGCCATTTTGAAGTGGGGTAATCCTACTTAGTAATGCTACTGTGTTACTAATAGTACGAGGACTTTGGCCCATTTTTTGAGTAACTTTAAAAATTCATTAAAAATTCACAACTTTGTTTGGAATTTGCTCAAACTTTCTACGCATTTATATGTACATGCATATATGTATCACAAAAATATGAAAAGAAAATTCTCTACTTTTTAATTTTGATGAAATTTGGCCCAACACCACAGGGACTTTGACAAGATTTTTGAGCAACTTTGAAAACTTGAAAAATTTATTTTTGATCAGAATTAGCTCAATTTTTTGTGCGATACAAGAAATGTATACATGGATTTTGGACATGTATAAACATGTATGGACATGTATAAAAAATTTTCTATCTGTGTAATAGTGTACTGGCAAGGTGCTTAGTACTATGCCAAAATCCTATAGGAAACCCTGAGTGCATTGTTAGTGCATTAGACATATGTACGAGTAAAATGATTATACAGATAGATATATTATACGTTTAGTAATTAATGCACAATGACACGTAGATATATATGTTATTTTTGCTAATACAATGTTAAGTGATGGTATTATGGTTATATGTTGATTTAGGAATGGGTCAAGTTATCCGATCCTCTTACTCTTGTTGACTGGCCAGTTGGTCGCAGAAGTCATTCCAGTTGTTGCTTTAGCACAGGAGACCAATCATATGTACTAGTGATGGGTGGAGAAGATGAAGACAATGATCACATCAATGACTGTTGGATATTGAGTACCAGAGACTGGATTTGGAAAAAAGTGAGATATTAATTCAAAATTCTTGTGTAAATAATGCATTTACAAATGTATACAAGTTATAAAATACCATACAAGATGATTTATTTGTGAGAGTAAATTTTGATGAATTTGCCTGTGGAAGTTAATTGGTGGATTTTATATTGGCAATAATGGCGGATTTTATATTGGCAATAATGGCAGGCAATTTCTTCATAGATCCACCAATTACCAATATTAATTCTTTGCCAATAAATCATCTTCTATGGTATGTAGAAAACTAGAATTAATTGGAAAAAGCAGTAACTTTGCTTTAAGTTACAATAACTGTTGCAGCATTAGTAAGTGAGCATTTTATTTCAGACCCTTATTTGAAAGGCTATTCACGGAAATGAAACCCATTTGTTTAAACCATTCTGTGTTGCGCAGGGTTGTAAATCAAAGTCCTCATTCTATTGTTGCATAAGCATGTTCTTGTGTTGCATAGAAATTTTGAGCTACATTGTACATTGTAATTCTGATCAAAAATTTTTTAAATTGCTCAAAAGTCTCTGTACATGTACATGTACCGTATAGCGGGTTTTTTTCGAGGATAACAAATTTCACAAATTTCGCAGATTTTTTCATGATTTGCAAAATTAAATTCCTTGAAAATCAATTTAATACAGTACAAGATGGCAGATTAGTGAAAATTCGCAAAAATTAATTCCGCAAACTTCCGGATATGGGTTATTTGCGAAATTTATTATCCTCGAAAAAACCCACTATACAGTATATACATTGTGCGAGTAGTCTTGGGCCAAATTTCACCAGAATTCAGAAGGAGAGAATTTTTCACTTGAAATTTTTTTCCTGATACATATGCATGTACTTATGTTGTGTAGAAAGTTTGAGTTGATTCCAATCAAAATTGGATTTTTATGAATTTTAAAAGTTGTTCAAAATTTGGCGAAAGTCCCTGTACTGTGGTACAGGGTATTTAGCCAATTTTTTCCTAAAATGACAAGGAGAGAATTCTCCATTCTTCTAATTTTTCCTGATACATATATGTGTACTTGTGTTGTGTAGAAAGTTAGAGCTGATCCCGATCAAAATCAAGTTTTAACAAATGTGAAAGTTGTTCAAAAATCGGGACAAAGTCCCTGTATTATTATTATACATGGTAAAATCCATAATAATACATGCTCAGGGTACACGTATTTGTACATGAAGTAGTGCCATTACTTTACACCCTAGTGCCATATCAGTAGCACATGATTACAAATTTACTGGCCATATTAAAATCCAATCACAAATTATTAAGTTTCATCCCCTACCTGCTACTTTACAGTCAATACTCATTTTATATTATCATTACTGTCATAGGTTTCATTACCTGATGAAAACATTGCATTGAGATCATTTCATGCTATTTCTTCATTTTATATTGGACCAAATTGTATGTGGCTTGTCATTACTGGTGGGCTGATAAAGGATTTCATTTGTGGACCAGCTTCAGCTTTGACCATTGCAATAAGTAAGAATATTTTTGCTTAATTTTCTCAATTTTTTTCTGATTGTTTATCGCCACAAGATTAAAATTTTGTACAAATGTTAGCTTGTGGGCCCAAACTAAAATTAAGTTTTGAGTAATGCTTATGAATTTAACTGTTATGTATAATTTATTATGATATAAAATATATCATAAATCTGGTTTATTTTGCATGATGGTAATTTTTGCATAGCAGTGAGGCATGCTAAATTTAGAATTACTAATATCCTCAATGTAATAATATTGGGATAAATAAGCGGCATATGAAAATTTCCAATGCCTAAATTTTTATTCTGTATTTTGTAACCGTTGAGAATTATCCAATTTATGGTAGTGCTTTGTGTTTTTGAATTTTATTTTATCAAACAGCAGTTTGTGATTAAAATTACCAACATTGTGTGATGCCCGGTTATAACTTAATAACTTATGAATAATCTTTTTATTTAATAGCACACAGTGATAAAGGAGACTGGGTTGCTGAAGTCATACTACAAGGGGATGAGTCTACCAGCCATTACAGAGAAAGACTGACAGAGCAACTGATGAAAGTTAGAACTGATTTCGCTACTGAAATGCTGAGAAGACAAAACTCATCCCCAAAATTATCTGTCGGCACACAGACACTTGAAAACTCTTCTATTTCCACTGAAAATATATCGATTAATGCTTCTAATCAACTCGATGATCCTGTTGATACTGCTACTCAAAGTACTCAGTCTTGTGATTGTGTTTGTATTATTACTGATCAAATCAACATGCCTGCTCATGCTGATCAGCATGAAGTTAGTAGTAACAGTGAAATCATTCGTCAAATCAGATTTAGTCTTCAAAATGACATTCAGAAGAAATTAGAAGAGGCAAAAATTGGCTAAAATTTTACTACATGCATAATGCTTCTTTTATTTTATTTTCTATTTATAATTTCATGATTGTTTTTATTATCAAAATTACCAGTTTACCACACCCATTAATTATTTTTCATTTGTCCATCCAGGAACTAGTGATGGGCGATATGGCCAATTTTCTTAATTTTCGATAACGATCGATAATGGACTTTTTGAGGAAATATCGATTATTAACGATACGATAACCACACCTTCATTTAGGGGTGTGGCTAATGATTTTGGCACTGTACTGGACATGAGAGAAGATCATTTCCATGCTCTTGAGCCTTGTTTCTCTTCTTATTGGGGTAGGCTGAGCTAGCAACTGGTCAGTTGCCTCTTTCTTGCAGTTCAACAGTGTAATTACTTATTAAAATTAGTTATTTAACCTTAATAAATGGGCGTGGTCAATAGATCGATGAAAATTGCATAAAATTTTCGATAATGATTCAAATCGATTCGATTTATCGCCCATCACTACCAGGAACTTGATCAATTATTTTGTGACAAATTGACAATTGCACTGAAGAGACTCACTCAGTCACTGTCTAGTCTTGTCACTGAGCTTAGAGCCTATAGTGAGAGTAAAGCCCCTAGCTTGCCGCAGAATTCTAATAGAGGAAGAAACTAAGCTGATGAGTGATGGCTGCGTTGGAAGTGAGTGATGCCATTATTAACACCTCACCTATTAAATTCAGCAAAGTAGTTTACATGGTGTGGTAATAATAAACCACTTATTTAAGTCATTAACCATTTTTAATTCATTGAAACCATTTTGTGTGAGTCAGCATAGTAGTAGGCTTTAGCCTTATCTTATGCCTTCATGTACAGTACCTTAGGGTGGATATTAATTGATCAATATCTACCAGCCGCTAATTATAGTTATTATGTACTTGTGTAAACAAGTACACAAGATAGGCAAGATCTGTAACAAGATAACAGTAGATAGGGTGATCCTTTTGAGTGTTCTAAATGGGAGTTTCACCATTGGTTTTCTTCCTTTTTTCGCTAATAGTTATCTTTGTAGCAACAGTAGGACAATATCTCTTGTATCATTTCTCAATTTTGAGCAGATATGCAATTAAAGTCTTGCAAAAAATACCCATACACCATTCTGTTTTATGTATTTTCTTCTTCTCTTTTTTCTTTGTTTGTTCTCTCATGTAGCCTCCAAATGATGTTTCTAATTTTTCTGCTCAAGACAATAATGGCAATGGTAAGTTAATCAGGAGTATTATTGTATTAATGAATAATTAGGCACAGTGTCTGATTGTCATAAATGTACCATTCTATATTATAGGAATAAATTATTTGGACTCACAACTTCATAACGACTGCTTAAATGGTAATGATACAGTTGTTGACAAATTCTTATCTTCACGTTCTGATAAAGAAAAAAGGAAATTGTTAAATGCCATTAATTGTAATGGCTATACACCCCTTCATATTGCTTGTGAGCAAGAGCATGCAGAAGTCGTTAAAATCTTAATGAAGCATGGAGCTAGTCCAGTTATCTGTAGTAAAAGTGATCCTCTTTACCAGCGTCTCACTAATAAAAGTGGAGATATTGAACTTAAGCGTGATGATAAATCTGAAGAAAGATGTCAAAGTATGCAGCAATTACTAGATTCTCTACATGCAGATGAAGTTAATATACATTACTTTATGAAATGTGTTGATCGGAGCAATGGTAGAAACATTTGCTACAGAATTAATTCAAAATTTTTTGTCGGTTCTACTCCACTGCATGTTGCTGCTAAAATTGGTTCTCTCAAAATTTTAAAAATTTTGCTTCCCTTTCTAAATGAAAGTGATATTAATCACATTGATAATTATAAAGTAAGAGATATACCAGTACATGTAGTAACTGTTAATGAGTTTATTATTACATAGCGTACTGCACTTTATATTGCCTGTAAAGAAGGGCATGCACAAGCAGCTAGAAAACTACTAGAGCATGGAGCTGATACTGATATTACTGAAAGTACCTTTGAAGTAAGAAATATACATGGTAATTGTGTTAATTATCATTGTTATGTAGCGTACTCCACTTCATTTTGCCTGTGAGTTGGGACATGTCCAACTAGTTGAACTACTATTGAGGCATGGAGCTAATTTTAACAAGCTTACTAACTTAGATGTAAGGCATTTATATATAATTCAATTATGTTGCTATTATTAAGTTGTTCTTTTTTAATTTTGTGTCTTTATGTAACCTAACGTTTTCATTATACTACAAAATACTACAACCATGTCGACAAAAAATAATGGAGATTCTGGGTGAAAAAGTAAAATTACAAAAAACCTAACCAATTTAATGTACATACATGTGCATTTAACACCAAATAGGAGGGATTATTATTATTATTATTATTATTATTATTATTATTATTATTATTATTATTATTATTATTATTATTATTATTTGTTGTTATTTTTATTATTTTTATTATTATTATGCCATACTAAGAATATTGTTAGTTATTATTTATTATCATGTAGTATACAGCACTTCACACTGCCAGTGAAAATGGATATGCTCAGGTAGTTGAGCTACTACTGGATCACGGAGCTGACATCAAACAAACTGATACTTTGGGTGTAAGAACTATAATCAAATACTTAATTATTAATTATAATTTATTATCATGTAGCGTCCGGCACTTCAATTAGCCTGTGAAAAAGGGCATGCACAAGTAGTTGAATTACTACTGAAGCATGGAGCTTATATCGAACTCACTCATGATAGTTATAATGTAAGATAAAGTAATTAACATTTCATAGGGTTTCATATGGAGATGGAGAGAAATTTAACCTCTCCAGCCTGAGCTCTTTCCCCCAAGAAAAATTGAGACTATCTCCTTTCCAATAATAAGGCCATTTCAATAAGATTTGTAGCTTTCCATTACCACCTCTGCATGCTGCCATTCATTATGTTGTTTTGCATTATGCAAAGTCTATACATGTGATAATTCTATGAAATAAACAAACCTGCCTGCCCACATCAGGCCTACCCCAGTAATAAAAAACTATCTGTGGCTTAATCAAAACCTTTTTCCAGTAATCTTCATCTTGATATAATTAATTGGGTACAGTAACCACAATTCAACTTTCTTTCCTTATAACTCACTCCCAGAAAGAAGTCATGTATACCACACTGCTTGTTACTGCCTGTAAAAGTGGTCATGCAAAGGTAGTTGAACTACTATTGGAATATGATGCTGATATTACCAAATGTGATGAAAATGGTCTTAATCCTCTTGATATTGCCGTAGAGAAGGGACAAACGTGAGGATAATAATTAGGACATAATTCATGTTTAGTGTAATTTTTTCTGATTTAGAGATGTTGCAATGGCTATAGTAAATAGCATAAAGTGGAAGAAGGCATTGTGTAACACTGTTACAAATAGAAGAGATGAAAAATTAAGAAGTAGACTTGTAAGACAATTGCGTTACAATAAGACTGAACCAGAATTCACAACACCAATGAGAAGGATTATCAATAAGATGCCAGGTTTAGCATATCAATACTTAATTTGTTACATTCTCCTTTAGATGTAGCAAAAATTATTTTCGATCGCTGCTGTAGGACAGAAGCATCACCTGATCATCCTGATTACAAAATTACTTTTAACTTTGAGTTTTTGGAAGATTTTAATCTGTAAGTTAATATTTTGTTTACTTTTTGCAATTTAACATTATTCTAGTGATGTGAATCATGAGAGTACAAAATGGCCTCCACAATTTGATTACTCTAGTCAGAATCATTGTCTTAATATTCTTGTAAGTTATTACTATTATCATAACTATTATTAATTATTACTGATAGGCTAATTCACACAGTGCAGACTTACTGAAGCATCCACTTGCTAGGACACTTCTTAATCTAAAGTGGAATAAATATGGAAAAATATTCTATTACACTAATTTGATGATTTACTTTCTTTTTGTCATTCTATTGACATCATTTGCTCTTGTTCTCAAATCACCAAATTCAAGCATATGTAAGCTATTAAAAATCATGATGACCTATCTTGTAGGTATTGTAATAGGTATGGAAGCATTTGGAAATGACACTAACTGCTCAGGTAAGTAAATAATAATCATGTGATGTATCTATCATGTATTAGAGGAAGGTTCTGTAGACCAAAGATACCTATCTGTTGCTAGTGTATTGCTGATCATTATTTCTGTACTCATGATATTACGTGAAGTATTTCAAGTGATATTGTTGAGACTACAGTATTTGATGGGTTTTGTCAACTTCATTGAAGTGCCACTATTCATCTTTACAATAATGTTTGCATCTGTAGGTGGAAACCACTGCTATTGTACTCATTCATGGCAGTGGCAGATTGGAGTAATAGCAGTATTCCTTGGTTGGATTGCACTTATATTCTCCATAAGGAAGCTACCAAAATTTGGAATATATGTAGTAATGTTTATTGAAATATTCAAAAACTTTATGAAGGTTGTCATTCTTGCCTTGCTGTTGATATTTGCCTTTGCATTTCCTCTTTATATGATGTTTCATGATCCCCAACTAGATCAGAAGGAAT